TCGTTCGTTCGTTCGTTCGTTCGTTCGTTCGTTCGTTCGTTCGCTCGTTCGTCAACTACTGATTCTAGGTTATTTGTCAGTTAACTACAATTCTTTTGGCCAATTGTTAGTTAACTCTTAACCCCATTGGCAACCTCTACGTTCGTTCGTTCATATTTCCTTCGATCAGTACCCTTCATAGAAGTGTTTATAATACAAGCTTGTTTTTACAACAATCATTATAACATTAGCATGATATACTCGAGAAAGATATGTCTGGATAGTCTTATAGGTAGATAGGCTTAACGACGAGTTTTTATTTTTTAACATTTTTACTCCCCGGGAACTTGTTCCGAAAACACTTCACTAGTTTTGTTTTACTTTCCGGTCAAGAAATGCTTTCAAGATAATTTCAAGACTTCTCTCTCTAATCCGTGTAACTTCAGCTTTGAATACTCTTAAAACAAGCATTGATGGAGAGAGGGAGTAAAGGGCGCCCCCTTGGCTATACTACCGATTGAAGTTAAATATAGTTATTCTACCTGATTCAATGTTAAATCAATTTGATTATGTGTAACCAGAATGCAACGCGCACCTACATCGATAACCTGTACATATTGGTGATAAAAAAGAAGTAAACTTGAACAAGTAAAAAAAGCTTGAAAATGTACGTTTGGGACGTTAGTTCTTCTTCAAATTCGAACCCTGAAACATCCTCTGGGCTGATCTAAGTCAGGGCATGGCTAACTCACAGATTGAAACCTGAAACAACCTTTGGTCTGATCAAAGTCAGGGCACGGCTAACTCACAAATTGAACCCTGAAACAACCTTTGGTCTGATCAAAGTCAGGGCACGGCTAACTCAAAGATTGAACCCTGAAACGACCTCTGGTCTGATCTAAGTCAGGGCATGGGTAACTCACAAATAGAACCCTGAAACAACCTCTGGTCTGATCAAAGTCAGGGCACGGCTAACTCACAGATCGAACCCTGAAACAACCTCTGGTCTGATCTAAGTCAGGGCACGACTTACCATCAAGGCAGAGATCCAGTAAAAACTCTACTCACATGTGATGCCAAGTCTAAGGAATGAAACCCAAGACGCCAGAGGTGAGAGATAAGTGCACTTTCGCAACACCATCATCCTTTATTCAGATTTTCAGGTACCTGGAGAGTTCAAGTTTCCTGGAAATTAAGAAAGCTTCTTATTTTGATCCCAAGCCAGATGGACAGTTTTGATAGTGTTTCGTGCTGTTAGTACAGTGCCAGACAATTGGCAATAAAATCTAATAGCACAATCGGCCTTCATTGAAGTAGATCACTCAAACTTTTAAATTAGCATCAAAAGCAGAAAAGAAGATTATCATTTTCTCATTAAATTGAGGGGGAAAAATTGGGCAAAATTGGGTAAAATCTCAAATAAATTTTCGTGCCTTGAACGTTGTTTCTTATAGTATTCCTAGTTTTTTCGTATTTAGATTAAAGAAAAATAACATAAAATAGGATGTGTAAATATTAATAATTGATATCTGTAAAGATGTATAAAGTCGTTGGTTCATTCCATATGAAAAAAGAATTTAAAATCTCAAATATTTTGTCATTATTTCAGAGGTTTAGTTTAGTTTCACATCGCACTAGAGTACAATAGCTTAGTTTGCTGTCTTTCTCTTCTACTGTTTGTTGATCTTTTTATTTTTTCATTTTTTACATGTTTTCAAATTTTACTCCGTAAAATTCTGCACTTTTGAACATTTGGCTCAAATATAGTACGAAAAATGATCGATGTTCAAGCCTTAATACTGAACTAAAATAAACTTAAAATCTTAAAATAGATTATAGTAAACCTTCAATAAAAATAAAGAGCTTCAATGCTAAATGTTCAATATTATGTTCGGTGTAGTGGGTGAAAATAATGTGGCTATTTTTCAATCAAAATCGATCCATTTGCGGCTGAGCTCAAAAAAAACAAATTTTCAGTAATTTTCTAAAACCATTTTCTAACCTTTCTGATTCGTATCTTGGTAAGATCCAGTGGAAATTTCCAATATTTCTTCTAGGATTTAATCCAGGGGTTTGTGGTTGCCTGGGTCGCGAGTCGTTGGGTGATATCAGTAAGTATACCTTTCGTAGCGACCCAAACCTTGTAAGACTAAATCCTGCAAACGAAGATGATGTAGGCTTTTGTTGCCAATAAGAAAAAGAGGCGCGATAGTATTCGACCAGATGGACTTTGATATGATAGGCGAGGATAAAACTGGCCAGCCCCTCCACGGGGCACTCACTTCCTGTAGTACAGTATTGACCAATTAGATTGGAGATTTTGATTTTCATAAAAGCATCAAATAAGATTATATATACAAAACAAAACAAAAAATAAAGGAGAAAGGGCTAGAGAGGGAAAGAGGGAGCGAATTTGAATTATTAATTTAGAATTCTCAAAATTTTCACTCTATTTTTCTTATTTAAAAAATAATCCGATTTTGAATCGGAGATCAATTTTTTTTTGACTTTTAACTACAAATGTTTTTTTTTTTACTTCTTAGCGTCGTACAGTCTGTAGAAATTAGCCAATTCGAGTTTTTCTAGGAATACGTTTAATTGCTTTTAGCAATCGATCTTTCAAAACAAAACATCTTACGATGTTTTTTATGGGCCATCGAAATATTGATTAGATATATTGTATGCACGCACTACAAAAAAATCATCCTTTATTAAAGCCAAAGGAAGAGAAGACACCAAGGTTAAGATTTAGAATAATTCTGAATAAATAAGCAGGAAATGGCTAAATGTTATAATGAGTATCGTGCTATGTAATCAGACGTAAAAGCTGTCAGAAAAGCGCTCATAATTAGAATGAATACATGTTATTTGTTTGTCTTATAAATTTGCTTATTTTTCATTCAGCATTTCTTTTTTTGTGTGTTTGTTTGAATTGCGTGTTTGTACTTTGGGCATTGTTTGCCGCTTTTCAGACCATGTGTCATTCTCTTGAGTATAGTATCATTCATTTAGAGTATCATTTTAGACCTTTTTTAGTTCGAATTGAACTCAACTTCTCGTAAGGAGGGTTTACAGAGTGTTTAAATCCACCCTGACCTCGAATTAAGCGATCAAAACATCCCAAGATTTATATCGTTGTTCTATACTGATATAAGTCCACATTTGCAACAACAAGTATTATGAAGTACTTGGCCCAATATTTTGAAAATAAATAATGTATATCTTCTTAGTGCTTATTCATCAGTGCATGCAGAATTCTGTGTAAACGAAATAACACATTGTATGGATGCATTTTTGTCCGTGTTGTTTGTTCGTGCAGAATCCTACTGTTATTTTGCCAATGACATATTATGGGATACATTGTAATTAATAAAGCTGACGTTATCGGAAGTCGCAACCCACTCGTGTTCAATTTAGGACGTCTAGAACACTCTCAATGTCTTTATACTCTTTTTAATTCTACTCCTGGTTTCATATATACTAAACGTTTTGATTTTTTGACGCGCATCATTGTAATATAAGATCTAGAGGCGGCTTAGGATCAAGTTGAGAACTTAGTTTTTCCCCATAACCAGAACATATGAACAATGATTGGAATGTTAGCCCTACTTTTATGTAAACAACCTACGTAGGTACGAGGTATCCATTTAACCCTTAAGGAATATTGAAACTGAGAGTATCACCTGTCCAAGCGAGTAAAAAGCTACCGCACTGTCTGACAACACATGCCGCCCAGACAGCAGCTGAAAACTAGTAATAACTAGACTAAATATTGCAAAAGAAAATCGCATAAGCACTCCTTATTTAACTTGATTACGCATACGCGGTAAGACAGGTATAAGACCATAGGAGGATTATCAGGTACGTGGTCTATATACATAGAGTGAATACGACACTTTATAAAGCACTGCGCGTTTTTAAGGCTAGTGTTTCAAGCGGGAAGAACAGAGTATGAAATCAAGAAACATTGTAAAAGAGCACTCGACACTGTGTATAGACTAAACACTCGTTAAATGGTTTAGAATGGGAAAACTGGAATATCCATGTAGGATGCAGATTATAGCAAATATTATTTAATATTCAAAGTATATGAATACGATGATGATGATTGTGATGACGTATGGTGATGATGATGATGATGACGTATGATGATGGTGATGGTGATGATGATGGTG